TTTACGAATAGCCAAGGTTTAATGTTGGACAGATTATATATTACCTCAATTGTTTATGGGTTGTTTGATAAAAAATCAATCAAATAGTGTATTATCAGTTTAGGGGTTGTGGAGATTGTTAAGCCTTTTTTGTGATTGAGATCATGAACCGATTGATGTTAGACCACCATAGTGGTCTTAACAATCACCACAACCCCTGAACTGATAATTACCATGTGCTCACTAGTGACTAGCTTCGTGAGAAAATTCTCGGTGTTCTGGTGAGAAGCCGTGACCAGTGAGACTAATCCGTGTCGGGTAGAAACAGGTGTCTACCTCAGTACAATGGAAGATGGGTCGCGCAACTTCGTGGATTGGTTGAGGTTAGACATTAACACCATTGGATGTCGGCTCAGTGGTTCAATAGGTTAAGCGTTTGCACGCGAGACTAAGGGCCCAGGGTTCGAATCCCGCGAGCGGGATAGTGCCTGCGCACTGCTGATGAATCCCGCAAAAAAACCTCCCAGCGCTTTCAGGTTTTCAATGGTGGTCTAACATCAATCGGTTCATGATCTCAATCACAAATAGTGTATTGCTTTCAAGAAACAAAAATTCCTCTTGTCTACACTCAATAATGTACTCTTTGATTTTAATATTTCTAAAAAAAATCTATGACATTTAATTACTAGATGTACGTGCATACAACTTTTTGATAACAATGATGTATCATTATTATTATTATCGAATAATTAAAACGAGATCAAATGATACTTATCTAAATCAATCGGATTAAATTATTTATTACAATCGAGTTGAAATGATTGTTAAACTTACAATGAAACGATTATGGAAACATGTGATGAATATTTTAAGTTAGAAATACATGCAAGATTATTACTGTAAATTAAAAATTGAATTTAATATGATATTTGACATTACAGATTGATGTTAAGTTAGATTACAGTTTGATATTAAGAAGCATTTGAAAGGTGTTAAATAATAGTATGAAACTCTTAAGTATCATTAGAGATTGAATACAAAATCATTAGGTATTGAGGTGAATGCTTAACATTCAGATCATTAAGTTAATATCCGATAGTTAAGATTTCGAAATGATGCTAATTTATGCTATAATTCATTGCCGTTGGTACTTAAATGTCTCATATATGATATAGATGAACTCCACGGAAAACAGATTTTCACTAGGATTCTGGACATTAATTCTCAAAATTAGTCGTTAGTGAAAATATTATTATTATTATTATTATTATTATTAGTGTAGGTGGTTGTGATAACTTTGCCTGTAGCCCTTTTATGATTACTGCCGGTTCCGAACCCGGGTTAACAAGATGAGTTGAGCATGGGACCAGCAACCCCATCTCGTAGAAAACAACATTGCTAAAAATACATTAATATCAGGGGGATTTTGTGGATATTATAGTAATTTCAATGGTTGAGATCATGGGTCAGTTGAAGCTAGGCCACCACTGGAAACCTGGAAGCACTGGACGACCGTTTCTTCCTATTGTCGGACTCCTCAGCAGGGCGCATCAACGACCCCGCCCCGCGGGATTCGAAATACACTAACCGGAATAAACAAATTATACCATTTAAGCTCTGACCTCCGAATTGAAGGATCTTCATTCATAAGAATTATGACGCCTCATGATGAAGGCCGATGAATCTCCTAACAACAAGAGAAACAATTAATATATGTGCATGGAATGTCCGGACAATGTGGGAGACCAAGAGGACCAGTCAAATACAAACGGAAATGAAAAGACACAACTTGACGCTTCTCTAAATCATCGAAACCCATGATACCCAAGCTGGACAAAAAAGGATAAATTCGGGAGAGATGCTGCTGTACTCCGGTCACAAAGAAGGATATGCTCCACACACTGAATTTACTCTGATGCTGTTCAAAGAAGCACGAAATTCACTTATAGGATGGGAATTTCATGGATCCGTGATCATCAAAACATCCTTCAAAACAAAGAGGGAAGGGATCATAATGAATGTTATCCAATGCTATGCACCCATGAATGACAGCAATGACGACAATAAACATCAGTTCTACAATAAGCTGCAATCGATCATAGAGAAGTACCCAAGAAAGGACCTCATCACTCTGATGGGAGATCTAAACGTCTAAGTCAGAATAGACAACACCGGATATGAAGATATCATGAGACTACATGGACTAGGAGAAAGAAAGGAAAATAGGGAGGGATTCGCAAATATATGTGCATTCAACAAATTGGTTATACTCGTCACCATATTTTCACACAAAGCTACATGGATCACACCACAGAAAACCTGGTCGATCATATTTGCATCAGTAAAATATCCCGAAGGTCAATGTGAGACGTGAACACATAGAGAGGAACTAACATAGCTTAAGATCACCACAAACTGAAGCTAAAGAAACACTGGACAACTGAACAAACAGCATTACAAAATTTCAATTCAGCCTTTATTCGACATACTGACAAAGTCAACCAATTCAAGATAACTCTCAACAACAGATTCCAAGCTTTACAAGATCTACTGAAAGAAGAAACTACTTTGGAGGAAAATTGGAAGAGGATCAAAGAAGCACCAACTTCAACGTGTTAAGGAGTACTAGGCCTCAATAAGCATCCTTTATAATGAACGACCGATAAATCAATCAGATTTTTTAATCATTCAGTCATATTTTGTTCAGTTATTAAAAAAAATGGTGATTGACTCAAAAATTTTGGGATATTTATTTTGTTTCTTAGTAGATTCTGTAAAAAGAAAGAAAAAAGAGTCTATCTGAAGCACTTCTAAGGTTACTACTGGTACCAACCTGGATAAAGCAGGGAGGTTGGGCGTGTGGTCAGTAGATCTATTCGACAAAAAAGAATCTCGCCAAAAACACGTTAATCAGTAACTGGAGTTAACGTCACTGTAATCACCATGATGATTGTCATAATAAACAGAAAAGAAAGTAATGGAAATCTCTAAAGATGGAATATTCAATAACATTGTCAAATGTAAGTTACAGTCGAATAAAGCCATTTTCATCTAATTAAATTATATATTACATGTTATGAACCTTTCAGATATCCAAATATTAACATAGCCTAAAGCTTAACCTGGCATTCTTATAACTGAAATAATATATTTTCATAGTTGAGATAATTTCAAACGTATTCTTTAGGTTGTTTTTTTGTTGTTAACATCTTTAAAGAATATTTCGTCCTATGAGATAGAACTACCATTTCTAATTAAGATGAATGTTGATACATCAATACTAACCTTTTCTTGAATGATTAAAATTAGAATATATATATATAATGATAATTGTGTAATTATCGGGTAACTAGTTTATTTAATTATGTAAATGACTTTGTCTTACTAGCCGAAAACTAGGTGGGTTAATTTATTTTTTAATAATTCTGAATAGCACTGATTGAAATCATGAGTCAATTGAAGTTAGACCACCATGGAAAACCTGGAAGCACTGGACGGACAACTCATCCTAGTATGGGACTCTTCAGAAGTGCGCATCCACGATCCCGCACCCCACGGGATTCGAACTCAGGACCTATCAGCCTCGCGCCAGGCGCCTAACCAACTAGACCACTGAGCTGGCATCCAATGGTGTTAATGTCTAACTTCAACCAATCCACGAAGTTGCGCCATCATACACCATTGTCTTCAGTGAGCTGATATCTCACAACAGACCTGGTTGAACTCCACTGGTAACGGCTTCTCATTAGAACTCCAGGAGTATGTCTTGAAGTCAGTCACTAGTGAGCAGATGATTATTATCAGAAGTGGTTTTGTGGCGACAGATTTAACGACTGTTATTATTATTGTTTAAAATTCATGTTTTGTTATTGAAAATATTTCGAATTTACATACTAATTTATTTATTACTGAGTTTGATTACATAAAGTTCCTCGCATGTTGTTCAACAAACGATCAGCTTTCCAGTATGTATTATCATTATCATCATCAATCTATAGATTGTTGAGGACCTGTGTTATTAGGTAAACGTTTGCCACATTGTTGATATTGAAGACTGAATTCGGAATTAGTCATTGTTGGAATCTGTTCGTATTTGAACAGGAAAGTACTTATTATGAACATCGAAATTGGTAAATTCAGTTTGTGACTTCCAAAATAATATGAAACATGCATCTTGGATTCCACTGCTAACCAAAGTCTATATATAATGAAGGAGTACTGAAAATATTATCTGTCAGATGACCTCAGGAACCTGACTAGTCATGACCTTAATTACTCCGTTCATAAATCAACAAGCTGTCCATTTAAGAAATGTTGAAAACTCCCGGCTGATGCATTGGATCGCTGTAATACATGTATTGCCTAAACAATTACTGAACTAGTATACTAAAAACTTTCTTCTATCACATGTTTGTTCTGCACATCTAATGTTACCATTTATATCAAATTGATCATGCCTGTAAACTGGCGTGAATTCTTTAATTATTATTTTCAGAATATAAATTATTATTATTATCAGTGTTTAATTTCATTCATATAACACAACTGCTACTAAAAATGTCAAAAATATTTAAATAACTGAATTTTCGTAAAATTAGTCTTCTCAATCAGATCTTAAAAGCACATAAACCTTGTTATACTGCTAATTTCGTGGATTGGTTGGTGTTAGACACTATCACCATTTATCCCGGCTCAGTGGTCCAGTAGGTTAAGCGTTCGCGCGCGAGACCGAAGGCCCTGGGTTCGAATCCCGCGGGCGGGATCGTGGATGAGCACTGCTGAGGAGTCCCACAATAGGACGAAACGGCTGTCCAGTGCTTCCAGGTTTCCAAAGGTGGTCTAACATCAATCGGTTTATGATCTCAATCGAAAAATAATATAATAGAGTTAGAAGTTTTATTCATTGCTTTCATCGAGACTACTACTAGATTAATTGAAGAATAATTAGTGATTCATCGTCATTTCGCACAAATTTATTTCGAATTAGTCAAGATGGATGTTTGGAAATAGTTTTAATTATTATGCCCTCTTTTCATGTATCTACTTATAGTATTGTCATTATCATTATTATTCGAGTTACTACTACATATAATAATAATAATAACAATAATAATAATAATAATAATAATAATAATAACAATAATAATAATAATAATAATAATAGTAGTATTGTGAATTCCACTATTGAAAGACTATTGTCTTATTCATCATACACGTCATCAAATGAAAATTTGAATGTATACATGTGCTTCCAATGTTTACAAACGTACACTATGGGGAAATGAATTCCCAATAAATAGACAGGATAACGTTTATTTCTTGACAAATCACAAGACTGATTCTAGAGTTGGAACTTTTCAAGAAAGTTTCACTTTAAAAAAGGAAACATTAGTTTCTATAAGAGAAAAAAGGCGAATAAATCAAACTAGAAAATAGCAACAGAAGGGTAAAAATGTAAAGGCAAATTACACACATATGTGTAATTTGAAAACTAGTTAAAATAAGGAGATAGACTGTAGTAGGATTGTGTAGTCAATGAATAAGATCGAAAGAAATTAACCCAATTAAGAAGTAATTAGTGTACGAAGTTTGTGAAGATTATGAAATTATATTGTTTACATTACGGAATGGTTTCAGTTAAATAAAAATTAAGAGTTTTGACATAATGGATAGTTATTTTTTACTTGAATGGGACTCATCAGTAGTGTGCCTCCATCATATCATCCATGATTGAATCCATCATCTTCAATTATCTCAGGAAACAATTAACCTGTAAACCACTGAGTTGTCATCCCATAGTTTATATTTCTAAATATAATCAATTATTGATATTGTGGAACCATTTTTCAGAGCTGTTGATGCGTAATTATCTTTTGCCCGATGTGATCACAGCTTCCTTCTAGAGCTCTTGTAGTTGAATCTTAAAATTGGCCACTGGTGTACACATGATTATCATTTTCAATATAAGAAGCTTATCGAGAATATTAAACTTTATGGTTTACGTCCATCATGGAACAAAATAATCGTCTAAAACTTCCTGGTTGTCGATTGTTATTTAACTCAGGTCATTTTTGAAACTAAAAATTAAATTGTATTGAATGCTTTTTAAAGAGAATTTCATAGAGAAGAAAATTAATATGTCCTTAAATGTACTGAAAATCAATGAGTATTGGTTGGTTGCTTGTTATAGTTTAAAACGTGACGACAATATAAACTGACAAAAGAACGAATGAAGGAGATTTTCTAGATGACTGGTGCACAGGTCACTCAGCAGTTTATAAACAAATTGAAACTGACCTAGTTCATTAAACATTTACAAAAAGTATACACAACCATAAGGCTAAGAATCATATCAATAGGGTAGACAGTTAAACTAAATGTATCGATAACAACTAATGGAGGTCAAAATTAACAGGACAAATGGCTAGTCAATGGTGAAGGAGTTCCCATAGCTTACCTTAATCTGAAGTTTTCACTGATAATATTATCTACAACTACAATGAAACCTCCATGATTAGATGATCCAGGTTAGTAAAATCAACTTCCCCAAAATCAACTGTCCATAAGAAAGAACAATTCTATGATTTTCAGATGTCATGGTGACAGTGAATTAACTTTAGGTTATTTAATTAGAATTCAATGGTCTACATTTTCCATTTGGCTCAAATCACGGTATACAAATGATACGAATTCAAATAAGATAGATAAACAAAGTTTTCATTCATATAAATTGTCATTTTTCAAAATTTTATTTTGGAAGTTTTATTAATGGACGGTGGGGCGATCTCGTGAATTGGTTAAAGTTACATATTAACACCATTGCATGTCTGATCAGTGGTCTAGAGATTAAGCTTTCGTGCACAAGACTGATGGGTCCTGGGTTCGAATCTCTGGGGGCGAGATCATGGATGCGCACTGCTGAGGAGTTCCACACTAGAATGAAACGGCCGTCCGATGCTTCCAGGTTTTCTATGGTAGTCTAACTTCAATTGGCTCATGCATTCAATTATTAGGAAATTTTATTATTAATGATATCGTTGATTTACTGAAGGAGATGTATAAGACGGATACGGGTCAAGTGATTATTTAATAAGTCAATAGACTATTAACAAAAAATACTGAAATTATTGACTAAACGTATTTTACCCAACATAAAACGACTATGATCTTTCTATCATTTAAAAATAACTTATTATTACACTTTTTCGTAGGGCAAGAGCAATAAAGTTTAGAATAAAAATGGGATAAGAGAATAATTGTACTTTATTGATTAGTTTTTAACTTATAATAATGTATCTATGTACATATGTTTTTAAGGTTGTTTTATATGAATTAATCCCAAAAGTAAAGTTTGTTTTGGAGTTTTGGTGATTGTTTATGCCGTATATATATAGAGAGAGTTATCAATCAACTGTAAATACATTACCCATTAACTTTTGCGATATTCTATAAAGGGTATTAAATTCCATACTTGACATCTTGAACTAATCTCTGTTAAGAAACTATTAAAAACTAGATAGCATTGGAAAGCTGTTCTGTAGTAAGCATTCAGGATCCTGTCACAGGGGATGGAACTCAGGACCTTAGGTTTGTTTCATATGCTAACGATATACCTCCATACCACTTGGTCGGGACCCAAGAGTTTGTAAATTTAGCTTCAATCAATTCGAACTATTGCGCAACTATCTTCTAATGTACTTCTTCAAGTGTACTACCTTACATCCGATATGGTTGAATTCAACTGAGAATCTAGAACCGACTCTCGAAATTAGCCACCAGCAAACCCATAATTAATTATTACGGGGAGTTTATGGACTGATATACCATATATCTTATTTTTTTTACTTAGATATTCATCATTTATTGTACGCTCGAACATTATATTTCATATCCCATAACTAATCAATTCATACATTGAAATTAGGGGAGAACGTTTTCGTTTTCTGCTTTCTACTATCATTATAATTTATAATCAAAGAAAAAAGGAAATCCACAGGCTAATAGAGATTGTGAGAATTGAATGATACAATTTAGAAAATAATTGTTAGCTCCTTAAGTAACGAGACACAAAAGTTTTTCTTTTGAATGAAGACGACTTACTACACATTCTCTGTTGTACGTTTTTCACTGAAATCCATCATGTCATAATTTAAATAGAATTTAATATGGCTAACTTTGCACGAAAATCAAGTTGTTTGTTAGATGGTTCGTACTGATGTATTGATATATTTATACTCACCACATTCATACAAGTTCAGTGTGTGTGTGTGTGCAGTTTGTTCTCTGTTCAGAGGGAGGGGGTCTGTAAATAAAAAATCTGACGGGTTGATAAATTCAAAGACTAACAATAAAGTAATGTATTCATAATGAAATTAACAATAATGATACTAATATCAATAAATCAATCTATTACATAAGAGTCTGATAACCAAATAAAACTTTAATGATGAAGATAACAGAGTGCATGGCGACTATGACACAGTATTGTTTACGACATTAATCATAATAATATTAATTAAAATAACCGATTTCTCACGTGTTTCTTCCTATGTAATCCCTATAAATGAATAAGATTTATAGCAAAATTATCGGGAAGTAAATTCAATTTATCCTCAAATGTAGTTTATATTTATATTTGACAAAGATCCTTATCAAACGATATCACAATAAATTAGTGAAATAAGATTAAAACTAAAAAAAATGGATAGAAATGAAAGATGAACTTTAACAGATTTTCACTTGAAATTTACTTGTAAAATTTATTTCGATATTAGTTAGTGTTCTATCCCAGTGAAGATTAAATTACAGGTAACTTCCAAGGACTGTTTATAGACTAATACTCTATAAATATTCTTATTGTATAATTATTCAATAATTACATTATGTATATTTATATTCCCCTTATTATAAGCTTTATTTTGACCTATAATTTATTACTATACGATTTACGGTTCTTAATCTATGTTCAGTCTGTTAATTACTATCTCCCTCGTTCACAGCCACTTTTTGGCTTATTTGTGTACACGTTATTTTCTATTTTATGGTACGTTGTGGTCTGTCTAATTGGTGTATAAACAGAGTATGTTTGAAATATATAATTCATATTGTGGAAACTGGTACTGTGTTCTAGACTCAAGTGGTAGTGCTCGGAGGACCTAGGACCAACGAGGACGCTAGACTGCCCACACCGGTTGAACGTCATTGGTTGGCATAGTGTTAAGATAGTAGAAGTCGTATTTTGATTGGTGGATAAATCACGTGATAAAAAGCCGGACATAAAACCATAACGGTCAGAGAATTGTGAAGAAAAGACATATGAATGTATTTAGGATGTATGAATAGTTTTATAGTAGAAACTTTGGATTCTATAATGATTACTGTTGAGGAGAACCAGGAAATTCCTCGAAAAAAACCAGAAGGGGCCATGAAAACGCTAGGAAACATTTTATTCAATCAGCATTCTTTAAACGTTTTTCAGAAACACCTAGAAAGTGAAAAGTCAAGTGTTTAGTAAGGTTCATGATCTTTCGAGAAGCTCAAGACTATCTGAAATGTTATAAATATCCTATAATTTCTGTACATAAACTAACTTTGGAGTAAAGCGTTCTCCCCATATTTCATACCTTTTTCTCTCGTGTTCAAGTTCCTGTTTACAGTTAGCCTGAAGGTTACTAGAAGAGCTTAGAAAATCGTATAAAGAGTTCAATTAGAAGATTTATCAATTACACACTCACAGTCGAACTAAAGATCATCTAGTCTCGCTTACAAAACGTAATTTATTTTAGATTGATGTGTACAAACGCTCAGTGATTTATATTTTCATTTATAATCAATTTTATTAAGTAATCGGATTGTTAACTGGTATCTTTAACTTACACTGATTTAACCGTAACAGTTTTTCATTGATACTTTGAATGGGGGATATAAACTTCAGAATCAATATTTTCATTCACCTTGTGTATAATGGATCACATTTCTTCTGTATATTCTGACAAAATAAATGCGTTTATTTCTCAATTTATCTTTGTTATGTTAATAGTGGATATGACAATGTGAATCAATGTTATTTACTGTGCCTTGAAGAGATAACTGATCAATTTCTTATATAATTTGGATTTGTTGTGTAGACCACGTTTGTTTAAATCACTCATAACATTCCGGCAGATGAGTTTATAAATATGAGAAAAATAGTATTTTAGAAGCGATGTGATAGTTATTTACATCAGTTTTTATTTATAATTCATTAAGAAATTTTTTGTATGTCAACCCATATATGTTGTATGCA